ATGCTATCTTTCCATTTTATTATAACTTCCCAAGCATCTCTTTCTTCCTCATCTCGTCAATGAGCTCTTGGATTCTTTGGTTTCTGGTCTTTTCATATGGGCTCGGTCGTCGAGGGATTAGGTTTGGAGGCTGGACTTCATCGTCCAGGCCATGGATTTTGTAGGGTACATCCACAGCATTGGTTTCTGGGTGATCCTCAGTGGCATTGGTGCTGGAAGCATTGAGAGAGACCTCCAGGGTGGTACCAGGCGAAGGTTGCACCTCCATGACTAAAGTGGGCACTGGGAGGGTAGGCATGAACACTTCAATGTCATTGTGCTTCCCAGGTGGTGGCTCTACCCTGTCATCTGTATTGGTGAGGTTGTCGTGCAGGTTACAGGACTTGCAGCACAGCTTGTTGTAGCTTGGGATGGAGCAGTAGCGAGACAAGACTTCCATCCTACAGAATATGGACTTGTCGCCTTGGCAGTGGTCCTCTGAAAGAGAAAAGTGGGACAGATAACCAAAGGACAAGATAAGGGGGAGACTTTGTTCCCCCACAGGGTGCAGCTTGCTGGAAAAGGCATATGAAAGAGCCCAGAGACAGCACAGAGGCAAGTGAGCTCCCGCAGAAGGGCTGTGTGGTTTCAGCGTCAGAGCGGCCCAGGAGCAGGGCAGCATCCAGGTGCCCCTGTCCTGCAGTGCTGCGCCACAAGTTGGGAGCAACGCTTCCCTCCTCCAAGCAGGGCCCAGATGAATCTGGATTTTTCAGTATCTCAAAGTTCGAGACAGAAATGAGGCCTGTTTGTTCTTATGAAGTGATTCCAAGCTTATCTTAAAGAACGAGACTTGGTAATATCTTCANGTTTGTTCTTATGAAGTGATTCCAAGCTTATCTTAAAGAACGAGACTTGGTAATATCTTCACATTTGACGTCCCAGTGGTAACCCCTATGAAATTTCATGGCAGGGTTTGACTCTACAATAATCTATAAATAGTAACTATAACAAATGTAAACCTATAAGAGCCAGTTCCTAAAACAATATAGCAAATCCCAGAGCTTGGCCATAGGCTCACCATGCTCCACCACTCTTTGTTCCCATCACGACCCAAACTCCCCAGATGATCTTTGAAACCAAACTGTGCCTAAAGAGAAATTTTAAAAATCACCCAACCTTGGATGGGCTTTCTTACACTTGCCTCAGTTTACCCATAGCCTCATGTCCTGCCATTGCTATCATTGCTACAGCCCTGACAATCTTGATGCCTTCACAGAAGCTGATCCTCCTTCCCAGCATGTCTACCTCTTTCCTTTCCACCCAAGAAACTGGTCATCCACGGTCCAGCTTGCATGGGAGCCCTGACTCTCTCTGCATAGGTCACCACTGTCTCTCTTTCTTTCTGCACAGCTGCTTCCTCCTTCCCCCATCTCCAACTCCATCTGCCCTTAAGTTAATCGGCCCATCCAACTCCTCCTGCTCTCACTCTCTGTCTTCATTCTTTGTCTTCTTCCCAAATTCCCCCACTTCTCTCTCCCCCACCCCTCATTCCGTAGCACAAAAATTGAGATGATTTACAAAAATGAGTTCAAGATGAAAGAATAAGTCATATTACAAGGGATATTTGATCCATGATAAATTCCTGATCATTGATCTCAGTGGGCCCAACACTGCCAGCTTAGCCACTCTCTACTGTCCACAGGATGATTTCAGACTTTTCCCAGGCAGATCTCTGGTGTGCCCACCTTTGCCCTCACTCTCCTTAGTTGACCTCATCTCCTACTGAAAGGAAGGAGGGAGGGAATGAGGGAAGGAAGAAGGATCAGGCATGGATAGGTGCCACGTCTGACCTCCCGTGCACAAACATGCAGCTCTGTCTACATCTGAAGCTATCCTAGCCCGATGAAACATCCTGCAGTAACAGACAAGCAGACCCTTCTCCCACCGAGGCCAGTGGATCTGATGTCCTCCTGCTTTTGCTCAGCCACTGTTCCAGCCTGTAATTTTCCCTTAGAGGCTGGTGATTCAGATGACCAACCCTACTAAGCAAATACCCCAACCCCCTGTGGGTCCCAAAGGTGCCTGAAACTTAACATGTACAACCCAAGCTCATGGCCTCTGCTGGCACCACCTGTCTCAATGAGTGGCCTTTCAGGCACACCAGCCAGGTCCACCTCCTGCTCCCTTACCTCCAATCCACCCCTCTCCACATCTATCAGTATTTCCTTCCAAACACTCTTGAATACGTTCATGTTCCTCTCCCTCTCCCGCCTCCCCCCTGGCCAAACTACCTTGCCTCTTGGCTGCACTTTGATAAGAGCCTCCTTTCTGGCTTCCTGTATCCATTCTTTCCCCTTCTCATCTGGCTCTCCTGCTCCTGTCAGAATGCTGTTTCCTCACTGAAGATGTGACCATGCCACCCCTTGCTTGAAGCCCACACTGCCCTCATTGCTTTCAAGGTGAAGACTGTCCCCTGCACCTCTCCAGCCTTGCTCAGCCCTTGGGCCCCTGCTCTATACTGTGCTCCCTCTGGCCACAGGGCCTTTGCACATACTGTGTCTTCCCTCTTCCTCCAACTACCCCCTCTCATCCTTTAGGCTCGGCTGAAACACGTCTTCCTCAGGCAGGCATGGCCTGGGAGGTGAAATCCTGTCTGTGTGTGGCTTCACAGTGCCAGGCCTTCCCAGCACTTCCTCCCAGCTGGCAAGTTCACATTCACTTGTATGAATCTGGATTTTTCAGTATCTCAAAGTTCGAGACAGAAATGAGGCCTGTTTGTTCTTATGAAGTGATTCCAAGCTTATCTTAAAGAACGAGACTTGGTAATATCTTCACATTTGACGTCCCAGTGGTAACCCCTATGAAATTTCATGGCAGGGTTTGACTCTACAATAATCTATAAATAGTAACTATAACAAATGTAAACCTATAAGAGCCAGTTCCTAAAACAATATAGCAAATCCCAGAGCTTGGCCATAGGCTCACCATGCTCCACCACTCTTTGTTCCCATCACGACCCAAACTCCCCAGATGATCTTTGAAACCAAACTGTGCCTAAAGAGAAATTTTAAAAATCACCCAACCTTGGATGGGCTTTCTTACACTTGCCTCAGTTTACCCATAGCCTCATGTCCTGCCATTGCTATCATTGCTAGAGCCCTGACAATCTTGATGCCTTCACAGAAGCTGATCCTCCTTCCCAGCATGTCTACCTCTTTCCTTTTCACCCAAGAGACTGGTCATCCACGGTCCAGCTTGCATGGGGAGCCCTGACTCTCTCTGCATAGGTCACCACTGTCTCTCTTTCTTTCTGCACAGCTGCTTCCTCCTTCCCCCATCTCCAACTCCATCTGCCCTTAAGTTAATCGGCCCATCCAACTCCTCCTGCTCTCACTCTCTGTCTTCATTCTTTGTCTTCTTCCCAAATTCCCCCACTTCTCTCTCCCCCACCCCTCATTCCGTAGCACAAAAATTGAGATGATTTACAAAAATGAGTTCAAGATGAAAGAATAAGTCATATTACAAGGGATATTTGATCCATGATAAATTCCTGATCATTGATCTCAGTGGGCCCAACACTGCCAGCTTAGCCACTCTCTACTGTCCACAGGATGATTTCAGACTTTTCCCAGGCAGATCTCTGGTGTGCCCACCTTTGCCCTCACTCTCCTTAGTTGACCTCATCTCCTACTGAAAGGAAGGAGGGAGGGAATGAGGGAAGGAAGAAGGATCAGGCATGGATAGGTGCCACGTCTGACCTCCCGTGCACAAACATGCGCACCCACTTCACCATTCAAAATGTCATGCAACTACTTAACAGAGCGAGTGGTGCCGTCTCCTCCACACTCACCCTGCATGACACCTTGGAGGTGCCCTGGCACACATCACTCTGGGCTGTGTCTGCCTCTAGCTCTTGCCTGGGAGCCCCTTTAGAGGGGAAGTACTCCTGACCCATCTTTGGGAAGGCAGACCAAGTGGGATGAAGTACTGTCAAACACAATTTTCTTCGGTGCTCCTTGTCTCTCTTAAGCTGTGATTCCTTTTAATGACCAGAGCTCTGGACAGGTTGAACTCAGCCACAGCTACAGTGACCCACTGGAGGCTGGCACCTGGGGCCCGGCCCTGTGCCCTGGAGCCCGTCTCCATGATGCTGGGTTGCTCCACACCATTCTTTCTCATGATCTCCTGAGCTCTCTCACTCTGCCCTGGCATAGGACTCCTAGGTACCACAGAAACGGGAGGAGAGAGATTCCCATTGGCAGGACATGGCACAGGCCCAAGGTCAGGAGGGCCCCGTTAAACCCTGACCTGCTGTCTGGTCACTGTCAGCAAGGTGAGAGAACACACACGAGGGAGACGTGGACAGGCACAGCTGGGCACACACACGCACATGCGTGAACGTCAGCAGGCTGGGTGTCCCAAGAGAGTTGCTGCTGCCCTGCCCTTCTTCCGGCCCAGACCCCCCAGCCTGGGCCAGATGGGCACCTCTCCTTCCCTGAACAAGGCTGAGGACTGTGCCAGGAGCCAAGGCAGGACCTGATGGTGGCTCAGTGCAAGGGACCTGGACCAGCACTGTCTCGGCTACTAGGCACGCACTCCCACCACACGGAGGAACCCATCTGGGGCCCTTTTCCTAACTGCAAGGCCACCATCTATGAGGAGAGAACCTAGACGTTCTTGCAAGGTACTCATTTAGCGTTAACGATTCAGAAGTCAAAGTCATGGCGGAGCAACTTCAGGGGTTGCTGCCATATTTTGAAAAATGCCTGGGGAGGAGGGGATGCCTTAGTGGGGGAGGGGTCTTAAATATCTACACTGGGCAGGGGGAAGGGGGGCAGTAAAGTCATTTGGTTCAGAAACCGGGCAATTAATGCTACAGAATGACGCCCCACAACTCTGCGGCACTGTCGCCATGAAGGTGAAGAGAACAAGCCATTAGGTTGCCAAACCCAAGCACCCGGTTTCACTGAACTTTTATTGAGTTTATTTGTGGGATGCATGACAGGAAGTCTTTCCATCACGAGTAAGAATAAAAGGTCATTTTCACAGTCACTTTGGCACACACTAACGTTGTCTCATCAAAAAATGAAAAGCAACAACAATGGGACCTATATAATACGTCATTAAATACATACAAAACACTAACAAAATATCCCTGATACACCAGAGTGCACGCAGACGGAGGGCGCGATGCCCGGCCACGCACGCGCGTCACTCACACGGCCTCCTCAGGCTGGAAGCTAACAGTCGTGCGGACCCGCGTGCACTCGCCGCCGCCACAACAATGGGACCTATATAATACGTCATTAAATACATACAAAACACTAACAAAATATCCCTGATACACCAGAGTGCACGCAGACGGAGGGCGCGCTGCCCGGCCACGCACGCGCGTCACTCACACGGCCTCCTCAGGCTGGAAGCTAACAGTCGTGCCGACCCACGTGCACTCGCCGCCGCCGCGCCGCGTGTTTACGTAACAGTAGTTAGTGCCAGTGCTGAGGTCCAGCAGGGACGCGTTATTCACAGGGGAGGGCGGATGGATGGCGGTTGGGAGTGCTACATTGGTCACGGCTAAGGGCCCAGGTGTGTCACCCTCTGGGCATAAGGCCGCGCTGATGGGGCCCCTCGGGGCGCTCCAGGCAACAGTCTGGCCAGGGGGCCTCAGAGACAGACAGAGCGAGCGCGAGTCCCCGCACAGGCCGCTCGGCCGAACGAGCCAGGCCGTCTGGATTTGGAAGCCTTACCCTTGGCAAAAGGGGGGTGAATCGGACCGGCTCCCCCACACCTCCGCTGCCTGCTCCCCGGACCGTGACCCCTCTGAAACTGGAGTGAGCAGCCAATTCTGTTACCTTTCAACTTTAAGGCATTTTCTACATAGTTTTTCTAAGCAAAAAAGCAATAAAAATTGAGGTAATTCTGTAGTTGTTCACACTGGAAGGCGAGGCACATCCAATCCACACAGTCAGTCTCTCTCACTCTCTCAACCCTGTGGACGGGGTCATGTGCGCACGATGAGAAAAGGCCGTTGCAGCTAATGGACAGAGAAGAGAAGTGGTGTGTCCCCGATGTCCCACTGGAGGGACACGACCCCGCCTCCTCCGTTTGACCGGGACCCCTGAGAAGACAGGGGATGGAGGCCAAGGGCTGTGTAAGGTGGACACAAAGGCCAGATGGAAGCAGGCCACGGTTTCACGAATCAGGACACACTCAGCAAAGGGTCAGCAGCAGTAGCAGCAACAGCAGTGGTGGCCAGGGAGCCCCTGACACACCGGAAACTCAGGGTTGGGTCGCCTGGCAGGGCGACACAAAACCACTCGCCCCAGAGACCCTTCTGGCCTCGTCTTGGCTGGAGGGCGGTGTTTGAAAGGGGACGCGGTGGGCTTCCCCTCTGATTTCTGACCTGCAGCTTCAGCCTGGAGGGACATGGCCCCAGGAGGCGGAGAAGTGGTCACATTCGCATTTTGGCCTCTGGCCCTTCCAGCACCATGACAGATCTTTGCCCCTTTACAAGCCATCACCAACCAGGTCCCGGCCTGCCCACAAGAGGCCAGAGCCCCCAGGCCATGCCTCTGCCAGGCTGGCCCTCACCAGCCAGGTGGCGGTGCAGGCTCTGCAGGAGACGGCCGAGCACAGAGGCCCGGGAGAAAACAGATTCAACCAGAGAGCACTCAGGAAGAGTCAGGGGAGCTTTCCATAGAAAGAGAGGAGGGGAGCCCAGGGCAAGCTCCACAAGGCGCAGGGCATGCACTGCAGGGCAGAGGCAGAGTTATAAACGGGCCGGTTACTTGACGAGATCTTCTGGATGGGCGCGTCGGGGTCTGGGCGGGACAGCCACTGAACGACGTAGCTCTTCTTGGAGGGATCGGAGACGTTTCCTAGAGGGAAGAGAGAGGGGGCTGTGGCTGCTGGGGCACCAGGAGGGGACCCCCACCCCCCCCCCTCTGTAGCGGGGAACTGTAGCAGGCAGGGTCTAGTCTTGAGCTGTTGTGGGGACCAAAAGAGGTGACACACATACAGCACGTGGCCAGGTATCTGCATGCACACAGGTTCTGGGTGTTCTCAAATGGAACAGGGCACCCCCACTCACATGGGCACCCACTAGCTGACTGAGAACTGTCATGCAGTCACTGTGAGTCGAGTCTGCAGCTGACCGACAGAGGGTGCTGTGCAGGCGGGGCAGGGCTGAGTTAGCTCCATCCTCCCTGCCTTCACTGGGGGCCTGGCCCAAAATGTGCATGACAAATGTCAACTCCCCCCATTTCCTTCTAGAGAAAGGTCCCAGCCCTGGCCCAGCCTGGAGCGCTCGGCTTCTTCAAGTTCACAGACTCTGAATTTGCTTGAACAAAGCCCCCTTCCCCCACTCCCCCCCTCCCCGCCCTGCGCTTCTGCATGCTGGGGACCAGGGGCAGCAGAGGCCTTACGGGGACAGGGGCCCAGCCTGCAGATCCTCGCTGTCTCAGGCCGCGCCTCCTGGCAGATGCCAAAACTGTCATCCACGGTGCGGCAGAGCACCGGCCGCTCCTGGGTGCCATTTCCACAGCTTACCGAGCACTGCAGGGGCAGAGTCACCAGTCAGGCTTCTCCTCCCACACTGGGCCAGGGGCCAGGAGGAGCTGGAGGGGCTCACGCTCCCCAGGCATGTGACCCCTGACACACACGAGGTGATGTGGGACAGGGATACAGCATGGGGTAAAGGCTGCTTTGACCCACCCTTAGGGGCTGTCCCAATTTCCTGGGGCTATAAAGAGAGGACACATGTGCCCACCTTTCTGAGCTACTGTAAGAGAGCATCAATATGCAGAGGCCGGCATAGGCCTGGCATCTCTGGGTTCTCAATGAGAGCCTCCCCTCTCCTCTTGGGGGAGGCCCGAGGCCCAGGGAAAACTGATGTGCACTGGGGGCCACTGAGAAAATTCTGACAGAGCCCAGGAGGCTTTGGAAGACCTCCCCTCTCCATTTCTCTCTGGACACAAGGCTCTACCACCAGTGCCCTCACTGGCTCCTCTAGCCCCAGACAACCCTTTCTGCATTGCCACACTGGGGAGGGGCAAGAAGGAACAATCATGCCCAGACTCCTGGCACAGCTCTGCCCAAGGAAAACCTTCAAGTCCTTGCCATGTGTGCAGGAAGGCTCGATTCAGCAGACCTGGGTTGTCCAAACCCTGCACATCCTCCTGATAGTCCTGTTTTCATGACTGGCACTTGTGCAGCTCCTAGAAACCAAGCTCGTGGCAGGTTCTCTCTGATAAGAGTGCTTTTGCATGTTCAAGGCCTTGAGTCATGCTGTGCTTGTCTGTCCAGGTAGTTCAAACCAGCAATGTGGTTTATGGAGACCATCTGCTTTCCCTCCGGGGTCCGAGGTCAGTCGTGTGGGCACTGTATACCTATGTGGCTGACCCCCAGTGAAAACCATGGACACCTGGCCACTGCGTATTCCTGCTCAGTAGGCTTCCCTGGTTGGCAGCACTTCAATGTGTTGTCACACATGGTTGCTGGGAGAATTAAGTGCATCCCTGGGACTCCACTGGGAAGAGACACCTGGGAACCTGCACTTGGTTTCCTCTAGACTTTGCCCTGGGTACCTTTTCTGTTTGCTGATTCTACTCTGTGTCCTTTCACTGTAATAAATCACAACTGTGAGTACAACAAGTTCTGACTCCTGTGAGACCTTCTAGAGATCACTGAGCCTGAGGGTGGTCTTGGGGAGCCCCCGCACACCAGGTCTATGAGCTGGCTGTCAGAGCTCACGTCAGCTCTGGCCTGGCTTTGACTGGTGCTCAGCCTTCAGTTCATCCTTGTTATTCTTTCCACTTCACGTCTCAGCACCACCCCATCCCCCTACCCCAGCTAATCTTCCCTCCTGCAAGCTTGGCTGGCCTTCTAGGTGTCACCTCCAGCCTCTGAGAAGAGACCGTAGGCCTCCCTGAATACACTGGAGCCCTGAACATCCCATCATGCCTTGGAGTCCAGGCTGCCCTCAGTTTCCTGGGATTCCAGACCCCCACAGCACAGAGGAGCTTCTGCCTATGCAGCAAAGACACACATTCCACTGGGTTTCTCAGCAGAGCACTGACTGTGCAGCACCCACTGGTGCCCTGAAACCCATGGCTTGCGGCCACAGCATGTATCCAAGCCAACGTACCAGTGGAATGCCCAGGCCACCTCAGTCTCACTCAAGCTCAGTTTGGGGGCTGAGGGACTGCTTACCTGGGACCAGGACCCAACCCGCCACCGGCCAGGGCAGAGCTCACGGTTGCAGGCACGGCGGCTCTCGGGCCGGGCGTCGTTGCAGTGTTTGGTGTGCACGGAGCGGGTGGTGTTGTTGTGCAGTGGCTGAATGCAGCGCACAGAGCGTGCCTGCATGCCCGTCCGCCCGCAGCTCTGACTGCATGGCTCCCACTCGCCCGTGACCCACCTGCCAGGGCAGAGCAGCACACAGTCAGTCCCCCTGCAGCCCGGGTGCACGGCGAGAATAGGAAGAAGTGCCTGCTCCCCTCCCCGAGTGCTCCTTTTCCTCTTCTCGCAAAGGAGCTGGCTGTGTAGACTTGCACAGAGGAGAAACTAAAGCTCAGCTGCCCCAGCCCCACAGACATGACCCCCCTGTGTGCCCACCGCTGGAGACCCTGCTTGGGTGGTAACCAAAGAGGGCCAGGCCTGAGGAGCTTTGCTGGCCTCTGTCCCTTCTCAGGCTGCTGGTCCTGCCCTTTGGCTTCACCTTCTGCTGATGTCACGAACCCTTCTGAGCAGAGCTTGAGAGCACCTTGGACACCCCCAGTACCCCGTCCCCGCACGGCCCCCACCTGCATGTTTACCAACCATCTGCCCTGCTCAGGGCCCTGCAGAATGAGCCCGGGCCCAGAAATGCAGACCTGCAAAACCCAGGACCATGTGTGGTCATTTTTAAGATGCACATCACTGCTTCAGTTTAGCAGCTCTGAAGCTGGTGCCCCCTCCAACCCGTAGCATTGTAGACTCCACAAAACGTGCTGAGAAAGACCCGGCAAGTGCCTTGGCAATGCTGGTCCAGATCCCGTACCTCCCTCCATGGGAGGCCCTGGTGGCCTCTGGCCTCCCACTCTAGCAGGTCACCAAGCTGGGGGGCCCCTGCCAGGTAGCTCCGGGCACTCACACAGGCTGGGAGCACTCCTGTGGGTTGCAAGGTCGGCGGATGGCTTTGGGCTTCGTGAGGGCATCGCAGAAGCCACGGTGCACCATCTTGTGGTCCAGCCTCCGGCGGCAGCCGTACTTGGTGAACTGGGACCCTAAAGACAGAGAGCTCGAGGGGGGCTCAATGGGGTGGCATGGCCCCCCAAGGGGGCAGAGAGCGTGGGCTCCACCAGCAGTCCCAGCCCATTCTCCCC